TGACTGGCACGTTTTCTGACGACGCTTCCATGAGTTCGCCTCATTCAACAACATACTTCAGGTTCCATTGGTGTCCGCAAGCAACTACAACAATGCCTTTCTTTGCTCCCGTTTTGATATCCCACGGATAGAGAAAACCTACGGGTCACGGCAGACACACAGACTAAGTGCATACGTAGACGGCGAGTTATCATAATGTGGGGGGCATATGAGAGCAAGTAGCCGATAACGTCGTCCGATGGATGGCAGTGAAAGGGGTTACAAAATATATCGAGCAATATAGAAGCATGATCACATTCACTTGGCGAACACAACGATGCCATCACCCTACTGTACACGAATGAACGTCCTACAACTGCACACCTACTTGAACATCGGCACATGCGCAATTGTGGGCGAGGCAAATCAGGTACATTCCTAATTTGATAGAAAATGACATTTACAGGTTCATTACACTCTGGTTATCTGACATTGTTGCGATAAACAACACCCTTCTGACATAATATCAGTCTGTGTACATTATTTAAGTCAGTTTTTAAAGTTCTTGTTGCAGTTGCAACAGGCACATCTCAAAAAGAGATACGCTTGTTGAAACTGAACTGAAAGAAAATGATTAGGGATATTGGAAGTCGACAGATCGTGTACGAGCAGACGTAGTTGTTTGATTGAAACGACAGCGGATGGAGGAGCCTCATTTACTTGTGTAGTGTGTGTGCATAGTTCATAGAGGAGGGATGTCTATAAGCAGCGAAACAAGCTGGATGGGATGAATGAAGCCACACCAGGACTACTCGAGGAAAAAGAAGGGCTGCCCTTTTCTAGGTGAGAGCTCTAAAACTGAGCTATATACCAGGGCAACTCTGCTAGTAGTAGGGCGTTCAATGCGCACCACAACACATGACAAAGGCAAACCTCTGGTGTATTCTCACTTAGTAATAGATAATGTGAGTTCTATACGTGATTTAAGGGAACGAGAGGGTGTGGCCGAGACACTCATTCATACAGCACTCAGCGGAGCCGAGTGCTTTATGGGTCTTGAGACCACAACCCGAGTTTCCGTAAGTCATGTATAAAACAATAGGAAGGACATTATATGCTTTATTGTGACTTTGTAGCAGTCGTCGACCACTGGCACTAGAAATGTGACGGCGTAGCATATTTCCCATGCGCACGTGTCTACTCGCTAGTTTCTCGAGCGATTTCTGTTCCTGCGGCTATTGCAATCGAAAAAGGTCGTGGCTGGCTCTTTGAAACTCGTTGTGCCGTTTGACTGGTCGGTGGCGCCATGGCCGCGGTCTCACTTCCGACAGGGAGCAAGAGGATAGCTGAATGAAGGGGTGTGGTCGTCTCAGCCATCCCTCACCTCTACAGATTCTAGAGAACAGTTTTTGTCTACAATATGTGTGTGATGCTGATGAAAATTCTATAAAATGGGAAATAAAAGTATGCACGACTCCTTGTGATCCTATTATAGACATGTGCAGACACAGTTACTGTAAGTTTAACAAACCTGTATGAAAAAAAGGAAAATATCCCATCACGGAAGATAGCACCAGCACCATATGCCCCACCCTTTTCCCTACGAAGTATCGTAACACGTGATTAGAGTGTTCTTGTTTGATGAGGCTTTCCTGAGAGAGCTCACCTTATTTCTTTGTGAAGGTATTTCATAGTCAGAAGCTTGGAAAGTACTTCAAGCCTATAAAGAGGATGAAATCTGCTTGAAACCAACCGAAAATGTTTTACTAGTGAGCAGTTGAAAAAAACACTTGTAAAAGTTTGGTGTTCACAACCACACTGCAATATCTGCTGATAAACAAAAATGACGTTAGTAACATAATAAAACGTGCGCTTAGTGGTGTGCGCTTTCTTCCAGACAGTTTCAATCATTCAGGCACGTTATGAGACCAAAACTTTCCACCAAAATAAAGGTTTGTTTCACACCAAGTAGAGGGGTTACGGACATTTAATTATACAGAAACAATCTCCAACCCTTTCACTTTACACTTCTCAGTGTTGGTCATGGCTAACAAATCCTCCTGAAATACTTAACAGATACTGTAAATTGCATCTTAATGACTTGTTCTTACAAACAGCAGATGGCTAAACGCCTTCGAAACAGAGTGAGTGGTCAGCAAAGATCCTTCTAGAAAGAATGATGGGTAACCTACCATGGGGAAGCGAACCGAGTGAGTACCGTATTTCTTCGATCAGTAGCCGCGGCTACTATTTTTTTCAGCGCCACTAACCCGCGGCGCCTATTCGAGGGCGGCGTTTATTGCACGGCGCACGCTAGCTTCGCGCAGCCACGCCTTCTCCCGAGAGGCGCATAGTCAATGACCTTCAGCTTAAACGATGCATCAAAACTCCTCTTCTTTCTGGCTGTAGCCTCTGCCATCTCATGCACGCAGCTGGCTGCTAGCTAGCTTCCAATTTCGCACCTATATATAGGCGCCTAACGTCAACGTTTTGGCGTCACGTGATTGTACGCATGCGCATGAATATTAAATGCAGCTACTATTCGAAGTGCGGCGTTTATTCGAGGAAATACGGTATACCTAAGGTAGCGTCTTGGAAAAGTTCATTATAACCGGACATGTGGTGTACCTTTCACTTGGTGAGACTTCCCGGTAGAGTGTGATGCATTTTTAGAGTCTAGTATCTCTAACCCTGTGCTCTTATTTTTACTAAGGGAAGTTATCCCTTTGGTAAGTTTTAGCTTTCTAACAGCATAACAACATGGCGGCTCCAGTTTATTAATTGCCAGGTTGCTGAGTAAACCACCCTCTTTCAACCCTTTAGCAGTGCAGCTTCCTTACTCGATTGGTACTTTTACCTTAGTACGCACAAAACCTACCTGTGTGAGAGCATCCCTGCAAACACAATTGACCTTTTCGTTTTATCGAGAGGTATGCGCGCTATGTAGCGTGACGTCAACATCCGGAGTACGTTCTTCGCGTTTCACAGGAGCGTATGTATGGCAGTCTACGGGAATAATGCGCATTTTTGCACAGCGCGCAGCGCAATACGCTACCGTATATCCTTTTATAGCGGTATCTGTCGAAAAGTTGAACGCAAGGACTTCGTCCTCCAAGTGGAGCCAGGATTGTAGCACCACAAAGGGCAGATATACAGACGCGCAAAGTCAACTAGTTTTCACGTAACGTGGAGCGATAGAGACAGCGACAGCCAACTTCTGAAGGCAAGGGTTATGTGTCAAGGTAAGTAGGTTCACCCCAGAGAACATCTGGTGAACGTTTTGTGCCCTTTTGTAGGCGCTATGCCAAGATAGACTTACAACAACCATTTTTCACCGCCTATTTCTCCTCCTTTCTCCTTACATTTGTTGCCAAGCGTCTCAATACATTTACCCGAGGCTTTCCTGGGTTGGCTAACTTACTTTCACTCATGGCTCCTGGTTTTTACCGTCGCTGTCCTCCTCTCTACTCTTCTACCATGACTTAAAGCTAGCAGACTTTGCACGACCATATCTTAGGTCTCGAAGACGCTACGACAATCGAACAACTTGGAGGACAAAGTCCTAGTGTTAAACTTTTCGGCAGATACCGCTATAAATGTATATACGGTAGCGTATTGCGCTGCGCGCTGTGTAAAAATGCGCACTATTGCCCGTAGGCTGCCATACATTACGCCCCTGCCGACGTGAAGGAATGTACTCCAGTGGTGACGTCAATAGCAATTACGCGTAATTGCATATTTCAGCCTCTTAAACGAAAAGGCCTATTGCTAGTAGGTTTTACTATCAGCTTATCTGGAAGTTATTCGCTACCTCGCTCTTACCTTCTGCAACGACTGCACACAATGCTCAAGTAATACATCTGTTACCTCACGTGTTAAGGCTTCAATGGCTGAATAGGTCTTTCCCAAAAGCATTGTCCGAAACCATTTGAGGTCGCTTGTCTTGCAGGCCATATGTCCTTTCCGCGCCTTTCCGCGCATTGAGGCATGCACAGGTAACTGGGAAGCGGGAAAAATACTTGTTTTTGAACAGGTTTTCGTGCCGGAATATTGCGCATGTCTACCACGTTGGCACACCTCCATTGTCACTTCTGATATGGCCTGCACCTTTTCAAGTAGTCACAAAAGCTTACTTAGGCTTCTTCGAATCCCGGGTTTTCTCCTTTCCATGCGTGAAACACCTATGCGGTCTGTTACTTGCTTTGGGGACTACCTGCTCTGTTTTGTGAGGTCACACCTAACCCTAAAGATTGGCCCCCAGTCCAACCCACGCATCATCCCTTGACAAGGACTGAGCCTATTGGGGATGTTGGTCAAAGGACTGGAGTCTTGTTCGGCAGAGTGCGTGCCACGAGGTATTTCCCCGTAAGAGGTGCAGCCGCTTAATTTGGCTTCAACCCTGCCCTGCATCCCACCCCCGAAAAGATGGAAACACAAAAGCAGCAGTAAAAGAGCCGATCCGACCGCTGACGACTATGCCTGGCAACAATTACGACCATGTAGTCAGTCCTACCCAAGTTCAGGCTTGCCTGCCACCCAACTGAGATGGCGTATGCTCACACTAGCTCTCATGCACTGGGCACTGCCATCTTGGTAACATGCCGATAACCGCCATTTAAAACTCACATAACCCTGTAGATTTGCTCACCCGCAGGTCACCAATGCATTATCACTTGACATGGGAGGAGAGCAGGTCTTGTGCATCATGGCGAAGAAGAATTTGCTTCCGGTGAAGTAACGCATTACGGAACGCCGTTACGGAGAATAATGATAATCGCACGTTAGGGTTGATAACGCGTTCATCAGAGGCAGACCGTGATCCTCGGTTGTCAATCCTCAATCCTCCATCGCCATTCCTCGATCCTTGGTCGGTATATACTCCACAATCCTCAAACATTACCCGGGATCCTCGATCCTCAGTCGCTATTCCGCGATCCTCAAACCTTTCCTGGGATCATCTATTGCCAATCCCCGACATTCAGTTGTAATTCATCGTTGCTCCATCATTATCTGTGACCTCCACTCAGCGATCTGTTATAAGGCACTAGCAATCTTTGAGCATTACCGCCGATCCTCGATCATTACTAGCATCATCAAGTTGCGATAATTGTCAATAACCCGCGGTCTCATCGCCCTGATCCCAAACAGTGGGGTGCTATTCTTTGTGCATGCATTGGCGGCATTGGATGCTACCGGCAGCAGCTCATAAGAGGAAGCTGTGACTCTCAGGTTGAAAGACGTTGTTAAGTTGAAAGAAACTGTTCAGGTGTTTAAAAGCGTCCTTGGAGGAATCAAGGAATCTCACGTGGCAGGGTAAGTCCAGTCCCTGCACCTAGCGGCTTACAGTCAGTCCTGCCTGATATGGGAGCTCTGAAGAAAGGCATATACATGCAAGCATTTTGATTCTATATTTGGTGATTCATGCCTTTTAGATCGCTTCTAGATCGTCCTGCTACCTGGACAAAGCAATTTGTTTGTTTAGCCTACTGTGATAAATCAAGAGTACCAAATGCGGATGAAGAATTATACCATGCAGGCCTGGGCATGAAATTGTGATAATTTCCCTCCTTAGGAAAACTGGGGAGGATTTGAGTTTCTCTGATGTGTTCCTAACACAAAGCACCTTCAGTTACATTCTGAGCTTGCCCGGTCTAATCCAAAAGTTCTGCAGAAACGTTCGAACAAAGGTAAAGTATACATTCAGCGAGTTCAGCGGATTAAATTCGGTCTGCCAGGAAAACCACACATGACCATGTGATGCCAAGAGAAAAAAAAGATGCTTAGCTCTGGACAGCTGTTTCGGGCTTGTTGGCCCTCATCAGCAGAGCATACCGCAACTTTTCTCTCTGGCATCACGAGTTTATAAAGGCTAACAGGAGTGCAGAACTTGTGGTTCTGAACTAATGATATTCATCCCCACAAGGCTTTGCCACTTGTAAAATTATGCTGCTGACCATGCCCAGACATTCGTGGTTTGGAGCCTAGGCCCCTCCCCACTCCTGCTGGTGAAGGCTAGCACCGAGCCAAACCCAAACTCGCAATCTGGCATGTATGTCTTTGCTATCCCATTATGCATTTGGAGTTTCGTTCTATTTTAAGTGGATGGAGACGAAGATAGTGAGGAAGAGTTGTGAGATCTGCTTTAACTGCAGTTCCAGAGTACCTGTTTCACAATTGTGCTCTAGTGCTCACAGGGGTAATGTATCACATTGTAAAAAGTGTGCGACTTTTATTGTCATGAAATAGAGAGAAAAAGAAAGGCACCTTCAAAAGAAGAGTCGTAAGTTAAATTATTATCCTATTCCAATCAGTGTTTATTCGACTGCTAACTCTGATGATGTTCTTCCTAATGTTGATGTGTGAAGGTTGCAGGGTGCTGAGATTGTGTCTGATAGGCAAGTGGTGTCAGAGTCACATGAGGTAGATGAGCACAATGGCTTAGCTCTGCAAGAACACGCCTCAACATTGCACTATGATTCACCACAAACATCAACCTACTCGTAAGTTGATTAAAAGCAGATCATCTTTAATGCCACTGCTCAATATAGTCCCACAGTGCGTGTGTTGACCTTGCATCGAGTGACTGTGGCAGCAGCTCGGGTGAGGAGGGCCCTGAATGTATGCAGATGCAGCGGCCTATTGCACTGAGCTTGAAAGATGAGATGGGGATGTCTCAACACATGATTATGCACACAAATGCCACATGTGCTAACTAACATAAAGATGGCAGTCCTGTTGTGAGCCACACCCTGAGTCAATAATTAACCCTTGGCGTGCATATGCAGCATGGGTTATATACAGCCGATTATTCTGGCACAAGGCGACTTATGAGCGATACCAACAGCTTCAGGACTACGCGAGCCTCTAAATGTAAATTGTGATTCTCCAACCGCCTTTGAGAGATATACCGTGAAAACAAGGGAAAAGGTATTGCACTGGGCTTCTGATCCGCTCGCTCGGTGTACCTTGGAGGAAGAAAAAGGGCAAACAAAGGGTGCGTATCGACTCCCGCCAGCCTGTGTCAGACTCTCCGCAAGCTACTAAAGTACATTCACATTAAGAATGCACCCTGAAAATCCGTGTATAGCACATTTGATTCGCTCACACATAATAGTGACTCAGGTTCGAGGAGAAATGAAGGCCCTTTTGAAGCAGCATCAAGAAGCAACTACTGTTCAAGACGAGCATCCTTTTCATATAGCAGTCACCACATGCGGAAGGATGCAAAGATAGTTCTGTTGCGCGGAAACAATGTCCATTTAAGAGGGAGGAGCATGACATTTGTAACAGAGGCTGCTGTGGACGAAGGTGGCCCTACTCAAGAGTTTTTGTCTCGTTTTAGCTGATGTTGCGCACAACAAAATTCCCTGTTTGCTTGAAGTCTCAAGAATCGTGTTGTTAGGCACAATTGAGTTACAGACAAAGTCTTACCTCATTATTGGCCGGCTGATTTCCTTATCATTAGGTCCTTCACAACAGTTCTTTGCAAGACCTGTAGCTGAGTATTTCCTGGGTAGTGCTTCTACCTACTGCTACTATCAAAAGATGTTCCAGACCAGAAAGTCCAACAGGCTGGAACATCTTGCCTAATGCATGGAACATCACATATGGATCACATTTTGCGTGGTACAGCTCTTTAATTCTCTTACACGGATATGAAGACGACAACAAATCCACAAACTTTTTCCCAAGATATAAAAGTACTTTGTAGGTAGGGGGTGGCTGAAATTTCTGACTGTTTCTTCTTAGAAGCGAGTCATTATCGGAAACTTTACAGCATGATCGGCCAACATTTCCTCCCCTATATAAAGGGCAGTCTCAACTTTTTACAAAAATGATAGCAACTCTTGCATACAGCACTCTCTGCGTCTAAACACTTCTCTGAATCCCCCGTCTCGTCTAATAAAACTTGAATGTTTTCAGGTTATGGCAAAGGTCGACGCCAGTCACCACCTGCACGGTAACAGCTCTTGCTACCACACGGTGCACATTCACTAACACTTCGGTAATGCAAGTAGGTAGCATAATAGTGCTGTGAACAGAGGTAATGAGGGTCACAGCCAGTATCTACCTCCTGCTTACTTGCACAAACATTTGCTGCCTCACATATATGTCAAAGGAAAACACACTACTACGGTCTGAGGTATTGCCATATCCAAGTACACAGGAACATGGCTTTTTCCCTCTTGCTTAACCCAAGTGGAATACATTCTCCTATGAATTTACCAGTGGAAAGAATGACACCCCGATTTTAACGTGCGGAACTGCGTGGGCGTAATAGGCGGAGTCATGCACACCGGTGTAATTTAACCCCTTGCCAGACCATTTGGGATCGCAGCAATGTAGCTTATCGACTACACCTGCATTAAGGAACTGTATATTCGATGGATTAGTCAGTGTATGGATCCTGAGATATCATCTCTACCCATGATTGCAGAAACTACAGTTAGCAAATTGACCTTGCAAAGAAACACATTCGTCTTACCAGATGGAAAAGTTGACTGAACATAAACATGTTGTTGCTAAAGTATAATACTAAACTTACGTTGTACCGTAATGTTATTGTTTTTGTTTACAAGCACGTTGTTTACCTCAATGTTGTGCATAGACTGCACATGTGTAGTAAGCTCTGGCGGGAAAATTCAAGCGGGAACTGTGAATTTTATAATGGAGATGTCGTTGATTAACACTGGACCGATAATTGCTGTCCTGAGGCACCACAGACTGCTTGCACCAGGCAAGTCAACACATGAGATGTCGTTGATTAACACTGGACCGATAATTGCTGTCCTGAGGCACCACAGACTGCTTGCACCAGGCAAGTCAACACTGAAAAAATGCTGCATTAGTTGCAACACACCAATGCGAGAACGAAAAAGGAGAGATAATATCCGATGGAGTCTCTTTATTTTGCCAGACATGCAAAACAACCAAGTCGATCAGGGACTCAAATTTCTTATCGAAGTCTCGTCTCCCTCTCACTAAGTTTATGATTAACCACTGGTGGGCAAAGCAGTGTCCTGTCACTAACTGCATCAATGAGGCTGAAGTAGATAAATGCTGCGTGATTGAAATCTACCAGTGGCTCGTGAAGTCTGCACCACACGACTTTTGAGAGATCCTCCCATTGTGTTGGAAGGGTAGGGTGTTATTGTGCAAGTGGACGAATCTCTCTTTCGTCACAAGCCTAAGGTAGCCAACGTCATCATACACTACAAATAAGTTGTAAATGTAATACTCACATTGCATCACCGTGGAAGGGTGACAACTGCAGAAGTGTGGGTATTCGGCATTGTCGATACATAATACCATCCTGCACTTGCAATTAGTACAACGCTGTGATGCTGCTACCTCGCTTCCCATCATCCAAGAACACACAGCCCCTGCGCACTCAGCCAACTGGGCTGCATACCGATGTGTGCAAGGGCTTGGCAATGTAGCTGCACACAATGTGGCAAACAATTCCCTCCATTGTTCGGACCCAGTGACTGGCAATAAATTTGAAAGTCATTGGAACAGAGTCACAACAAAGCTTGGATGAAAGGGTGCCATGCGGGACAGTTTCCCAGCTACGTAGAGGAGTTTTAATGGCGGGAACGCTACGGTAAAACTTGAGGCGTGGCCTGGATCAGCATAATCAGTGACATCGCTGCACAATACCCAGTTTAATGGCATAAGATTCATATTTCTCCTTGTAATCTCATCGTAGCATTTCATATTCCATTGCACTTCATACACCGTTCTGTTCTCCACATCCATCGCACTTTTTAGACTTGATGCACACGTTGCGATCGAAAATTGTCCGACAGTCAGAATCTGCTGGAGTCATCAACGGTTTTTCTTCTTCTCTTCTTTTACTTTGTATATAGCCTCCACTGAAGGAGAGTAGCCTATTGGGTGGGAAAAGTTGGGTGGCAGTCAGAGAAAACGTGCGCACTCTATGGAGATGGTAAATGAAATCAATAATCTTCCTCTGCTGAACAGCAATCCAGTCAACCCCTAGGACGTACTCTGCGAACTTCACCGCGTCAGTCGCCAAAAGCAAACCAACGATGACTAGAGAATAGCGGGCTCTGTAGACAATATGCGAAACAATGGCAACCTGAAACTTGGGATATCAAGAGTCTATAAAACCGCTGGGGAAGTTTTAGTCTAGTTCACAAAGAGGAGCCCGAGAAACTCACCGGAAGTCGGATTGGTGTTAATTGCATGAAGGAATGCACCCATGTTGAAATTTTCTTTTTTTCAACAATTGTCTGTGGACACTTGCGGAATGACTACCGTGTATAACCACACGCTACACAATCTGAATTTTACATGGAAACTTATCGCATCATAAGCACTGCAATACTCTTTTCACGTCATATGGAAGCCTGAAGATGCAAACAACTGATGGCACTTTTTTCAATACTACTTGCACTGGGAAAAGGATTCCCATAGCTAAAGGTGCCTGCACTCTCATCTTATTTGCTCTGTGGCAAAATGCCGGTGTACATGGATTGGAATGCCTAGGTACACCAGAAAACAAAAAATATTTTCTAAAAACGACAATTTCCTGCAATGCAAAAATATACTATTCAGCAAAAAATGGTCAGAAAAGGATTTACAGAAGAAACCACAGTAAAAACGGGAAGTGGGTGATCCTTTGGCCTTTGGACTACAAAAGCTTGGCTACACAATTGCAGAAGAGTCAACAACAATGCATCAGCATAGCCTACCTTGTGGAGTCTTCATGGCTGTAAGGTGCAGTTTTAAAACATTTAGCAGCATAATTAACAGGAGAGTCATTTTTAAAATCCTTCCGGTACTCCGTCTTTACACAAACTGTGCCCTGTGTGTAGGTGAAATCACATGGGTGATCCAACACATAATTCATACAATACTCTTTTGTCCACTATCAACTACATTACTTGCCTTATGTCTGACTCAGGGAGACAGAGATAAATTTTTGCGACAAACGTGGGAGTCGACGTTTCATACCAAGAGCACAGTTAAAATGTTTATATGAATTAATGAATTATTCTCAGATTATTTTCAATAATTCATTATCATAATTATTTTCCATACATTCTCTAAACCAGTGCACCGGCAGCACTATTATGGGCAGGGGCATTCTTTCGGTTTCATTGCCGAGCGTGTTAGCGTGAGGCAACTACTCCGGGTTGTATTCTCGCGATATGCGTACGTACGTGTCGTCACGCGTAAGAATGTCAATTAGTAACGCTTAGGAATGTCACTTCCGTCATTCGTAGGAAGTCTAGCTTCCGCTGTGCGCGCAGACTCGTAGGAAGTCTGGCTTCGCGCAGTCTAGTCAGTAGAGCGCGCGCACAAGCGGCCTCAGTCGGAGTGTTTACGCATTGGCTGGCAGGCGCGAGGCAAAATATGCGCGTGCGCATTCCTAGTACAGTATGGGCAGGTGTATTACAGCCAGCAAAAAAAGGGGCGTGTGAACTTTTTGAGCATTATACCTTTGTAATGAAGTTCCTACGCAGATGTTTTGTAGTACGTAGGTTCTATACGCCTGTGTGTACTGTGGGAAGAGCTTAGTCTCGACTATGTAGTGAAAAATTTCTATGTCAGAAGATCTTTCAGCAAGGCAAAGGTACGTATACTCAAGGGTAGTTTGGCATACATATACGAATACTTAAGCCAATATGTTATTAACCTATTTACTCTATTACCATTGACATGTAAAGTTTTTTGAGTCAAAAAAGTATGGAATACAGTGAAACTTCCGAAAGCGGACCCTCCCTAGCACGGGCACCGCCCCTAGAGCGGACAGTTCTGCTGCCCCTAATTGAACTTCCCATTATCACTAAGTACGGTAGTACTTAGTATATAGGGATGGGCATGGTATATACCAGCATCATTGATGTATGGGGCTATGATAGGAAGTTTTGTTCATCTTCTTCTTCTCCTTCAGATTGAACTCCCGTAACTCAAAAACGAAATAACATATACTAATGGAATTTTGTAAGAATGTAGATATCCGTCACCCGACGAGACTGGCCATACTTATTTCTTTGTAAATATAATTGTTTACTGTAAATCGTAACGGCAAGGTACTTCTCGGTCTGTATTGCTGTATGTCGGCCCAGAGCGGAAAATGCGTGGAAGATCGTTAGGACATGAACAACAACAAATAGCAAACAACAACAAATAGCCCCAGGCAATAGAGATTATAATGGTATCACATGTGTCAGTATAATTCACAAATGGTAAGAGCTATGTGAACGAAACTTTGTATACACAATCTATTCAATAGCAACATCAAAATCACAACAATAATAATAATAATACTCAGGTGGCTGCCATAGCACTAGGGCCATAGACCACGCACCCAGAGCAATGGGTGGAACCGTTAACAAACGAACATACACCATATGAACATGAGGTGTCTGTCTCACCTCCCGGACACCTCAACTCACCACTTCCACCAGCGACACCCTGCAGCTCCCCAAGCGCAATCTGACACTGGGTTTGTTGTACGCGGGGGACTAACCTAACCTTTCTCAGCTCCCAAACATCCAAAATAAAATCTTTAACAAGGCCAAGCAAAAGAACCAAATTTATCCTCCCACAGTTCACTACCCAATATAAAGGATGCTTTCCTGAAACTATCAAGCGACTGGAAATGCTCAAACTCATCATCCCCAAGCTTCCCCTGCAGGGCAACTAAGAAATTGCTCCTAGGACTACTATATGCTGCCACACTCCCACTCACACTTTCACACTCATCATCACACAACAGGCACTCCTTCACCCCCTCCCTCCCCCTATGCCTAACCAATTCCTCATTTAGCCCATGCGTGCCTGACCTGAACTTAAACATTAATCTAGACCCAGCATCACTTTTCCCATGCAAGTACTTTTTGAACTCTACCACCTTGTTAAATGTCTTATACAATAACAGCTTTACTTTACTATTTTCAACTTCCAACTTTCTAATCTCCCTCTCGTCAATACTGTCCCCTATTATAGACAGAAAGCCCTTCAAGGAGCAATCCCCATTTTGAATATCATGCAACCACTCTGCCTTGTCAAGACCTAATGACGAAAAGAGATCATCAATGACCTTACTCCAACCCTTCCTCTGCCTGCCTCTCCGTGGCTTAAAATTCCATTCCTGATTAAAAAGTTTCATCGGATACCTATTGCCTAACAATGCCGCTAACTTATACCACCACTTCAACTTATTCTTATCCCTACGCCCTTGTAACAGGCACTTTTCTTTAAATTTACTTCTTCACTTCTCAAACTTTCCACTGGTAACACGCATAGAGATGAAACTTGGTATGTATGCCTATTATCTCCATGACGATTACGTGATTCCATGAGGACCGAATTTTGTTTGACAAAGCCGGGCAATTTTCTTTTGAGCACGCCAACACTCCGACCCCGTCATGCAATCCCTTTATTATTGTTGCCTGGTGTGCCATTCGTAAAACTCCATTTGTATTTTCAAGCTGTAAGTCCTGACTATTGTGTAGTTTTGAATGTTTGATACTTCACCTAGGCAACATTAGAGGGATTGCGTGATGGGGTCGGGGTGTCAGTGTGCTCAAATCTGTTCTTTAACCATTTTTCATGTATACCATTCCTATCTTGTCTCCCTTTCTTTTTATACCATCCCTATATGCCTCTTTTTTAAATTCGCAGGATTTTTAATTTACTTGTACAAACATATTTAAACCTCCGACGAGAGGACGCCTCCTAACTCCGTAGAGCAGACACCTACGCGTGCCCAACGTACTAGAGCCCATGCCTCTGAAAGAGGACAGCTAGCCACGCCTCCACAACCACACCTAGCCTCGTGGAGACACGCCCTCTCAATCCGTCGCTCCGGCTAGACCACACCTACCCCTTCGATCAGCGCCCGCATTGATCGTGCAGCTAGCGCTAGTAGACCGTAGCATAGAGACGGTACGTAAGTGCACGGGATCTACAGCTTTGCGTAAACCTACGCGTGGTAAGCTTACCCCCTTACATAGGACTGGAAGTCTACCACTAGGTCTCAGGCAGTAGCTACAACTTGACTGGCCCTTGGCTACGTCCAACGTCGCGCATAGTGCAGAGAGATTGTTTGCTTGTCCTTTGACCTCCGCCATGTGGTCTATGTATGTGTTACTGTATCCTATCGTCCTAGGTTCATGGCTTACTGAAACTGTGTAACTATTAATTATACCTTGTTTGAGCATGTTTTGTTGTGGATTAGAACTGCAGCAATGCCTTTTAGCAATATTAACGTGTAAAAGTGACAACCTCCCTAGAGGGGACAAAAGGGTCGTCCCCATGCTGTCCCTTCTTCGGAGGTTTCACTGTATAGGGATGCCATAGGAGACAAGACAGGGATCACGTAGTGCATGTGATGCAGTAGTAAAATGAATGATGGTTACATCTTCAAACTGACATTGCTTGCACATGTAAATATTCCTCCACACAATCCCTATATAGTTGCAATGCACGAGTGATCTCCATCGTATGATTTGGAGCTATGACCTGTTTCCTAAGCAAGTGAGACAGGTACATAGCTAATGCAAAGTAGCTAGCCAAGGTACATAAGTGTACCAAGTTTCATTGTTAGAGAACCCAGCATAACAAGTTATAGGCACAAAAGTTTACAAGTTTCACTGCCTGAGGCTGTTTGTTGCAGTTTAGAAATTTGTAACTTCTGTTCCGATGAACACTTATCATGGTACATCAGTGTACCAAGTGCTATTGTTTGAGGACCCACCATAAGCAAGTAACAGGCACAAACACAGTTTACAACTTGTTATTGCCTGAGGCTATTTCTTTTCGTTTACAAATTTTTCCCATTTTTGTTTTGATGACATTTTGCCTTATTTGTTTTTGTTACAACTTGTTCATTCAGTAGATGACCCACCTTAAGCAAGTTATAGCCACAAACACAGTTTACAAGTTTTTATTGCCGGATGCTGCTTGTTGTTGTGTACAAACTTGTAATTTCTGTTTTGTTGAACTCTTATCATGGTACCAAGTTTCATTGCTAGAGGACAAACCATAAGCAAGTTATAGGCACAAACACATTTTACAGGCTTTTATTGCCTACGTATTAAGGTTTTGGAGATACACTTGTGGAAACTGATCATGACAACAAGAATAATTCTGAAAGTGAACTTTCTTGAATAAATCAAAGATTGTAAAATGTGTTTGTGCCTATAACTTGCTTATGGTTTGTCCTCTAGCAATGAAACTTGGTACCATGATAAGAGTTCAACAAAACAGAAATTATAAGTTTGTACACAACAACAAGCAGCATCCGGCAATAAAAACTTGTAAACTGTGTTTGTGGCTATAACATGATAAGAGTTCAACAGTTCTGTTCGCCTATACTGGTATTGGAGATTTTGGAGATTGCCTGACAAGATTGCTATAACTAAATGGCGGCCGATACAAAACCACCGCTAGGTACACACTACTGTCACACTCCATAAGCATCTACAAGCAAGAACTACAGTCCAAATCCATTGCCAAGTATGAAACCGAAGCCAAACACTCCCCGGGGCACTGGCATTCTTGCCATGTCTTGCACTAATGCAAGTGCAGATAGCCACGCCCCGCTTACTCAGCTAAAAAGCAGCAGCAAAGCTTTTTCGCGTTTGGCTGGTAGCTCTATTGTGGTGTTTTAGGGGTATTCTGCGAATTTCGTCGATTATGGGCATTGGTAAGGGAAGGAGCATGCATAGCAACCGTCTCCTGTCGCTCCAGCCAGCCGGTTTGGCCTCCTCCAGTCTGTATGCTATATTGTACACTGTAAGAGCGTGCACTCTCCAGGAATGGCGTGGGTCATCGGTGTATATCGCCTGCAGAGGCCGTTGCTCGGTGAACTGTCGGTCTGTTTGTTTACACGGAACCGCGAGTTAGCTCGCAAGCCGCGGTTACGAGTTTTCTTTGCTCGCTGGTCCATGGCCATAAAATGGCACATGTTAGCCGGTTTGTGTGGAAAATGGCTCACGTGGAGCCTGACAGTTGAGCGCCAAAGACGCTCTGCAAAATGACAGTCTTTCTCGTACTCTGGCAAACATAACATTTTGAGGTTTGCCTGTACCTGCATGCTCTCTTTTACACCCGGATCTACCTAGGATCAGCGCTTTGGTAACTATTTTAAACGCACACTGCTCAGCCTCAGCACAGGAATGACAAAACTATAACCCTCACTGCGCACGGGCGCCGAGTGTTAATTTTGAATACTTTGTAGAGGGCAACACAATGAGGTATTAAAACTAGGTATTGAGCACAGTTATCAGATGGACAGGTTCCCAGCCCCAACCCCAGAGTAATAGTAATAGAAAGGCACAAAACATTATACCTCAGATAGTGTTGACACGTCTGAAGGAATTCCAGGTAAAGATAGAAGAAACCTCTTCACATCGTCTGAAACCATAGGTAATGCGTTGCTGGTAGTATTGACTGCACATCTTCTGAGTAGTATTCACAGAACACGACATAAAGCAGCATGCTCAAAAACACAGAGGAAGAAAACACAGACAAGAGATTGTATATACCACAATTAGCCCACTCCATGGATGTACAATGTAGAAGCCAAATGTGACCACATTGCTAGTAAGATGTACTTGTATGTTTTAATCCTAGGTGCGCATGCACAGCAAGGGTTACAGTACTTTGTTCGTGTGTTTGTATGTCCATTTGTTTGCTCCACGACCACATGCAACAAGACAACAAAAGAGTGATACCAAAAGGTTCAGCACTACACTGGCTTTGTTAAAAATGTCGTAAAAGTACTGCTCCCAGAGAGTTATGGCATGAAACACAGTGAAAAGCCAATATACAAAAGAGCAAAAGGCTTACCTCAACTACATCCGCTTGCTCAGTGTACCCTAGAGGCACGAGATGCTGCAATGCAGGGCGAGTATAAACTCCCGTATAGTAGTGGAGCTAGCTAGGAGCTGGAGCTGGAAGGTTAGAAAACTCACACACTTTCTTATCCACTTCCTCCTTCCAACTATCATCAAAAGCTCTGTCAACACTATACATCAAATGCTGATAATGTCTCTTTAACACCTCCAGCTTGCCCTTTGCACCAGTCACTAGCACCCCAGCACTATTCCTCAACACTGTTATCCCCCTTTTCATATCCTGTGTCTCCTTCAACCAACAATAATCTTCCCTATGTCCTTCAAAATCTGAATTTCCAATACCATCATTCCAAACCTCAAGCTTCTTTTCAACAACTAAATTCTTCACCTCCCTACGCAGTTCACTATCCAAAGATTCTCCTGACCCTTGTAAACCTCCCGTCTCTGCTCTCTCTTCTGCTTCATCTTACCATCCCACAATCTGACTGCCCTGCCACACATTCTCTCCTACCTCAGCCCTTTACAACTTGCTCCCACTCCTCTACAACTGGACTGACTAGCCCACTTCCACTCATACCCTCACTCACTCTCTCCCTGATGCTCTCTAAAAATGATTCAACCTCCACCTTCAAGGCTTCACTATATTTCGCTCTAACCCATTCATCCGAAAATCAGTCCAGACGTTACTTCCTTATTGTCCGCTTTTGCTTTTTACAACACGTTCTAACCCGGCCCAACTCCAGCAAAATCCGAGCCACCAATACCAGTTGTATCAACCTGTACTTCTCCAGCACATCCACACCTACATAATTTATCCGATTTCTGATGCAGGCTTGGCCTTACTTTAGTCCATTCAGGCTCCCACACAAACTACATAACACAAGCTCGACCTCATTCAAGAATGAAATCAGCCCATTTCCACTGGCATTACAAATCTCCTCCCTAAACATCCCATGACATCATCAAAACATCATTAGATAATTACCGACCCTCGTATTAAAATCACCAAGAAGAACTACCCTCCCTTTCTGCACGAACCCTAGCACACATCCTCCTTCAACCTGATGTAGCTAATAGAAGCAAAACCTGCATCTGTAGGAATGTAAATGCAACACACATAACAATGCTTCTCTTTATCTCCCGGCTTGAACCTTCATCCACACACTCTATTCATACCTTACGTTACTTATAAACTGTACCAAGCATTCCTGAAGCAAGAACCCAACATTTACTTCCCCCTATGACTACATACTCATGAGGCTTTCCATAGCCAACAACAGGAAACTCTCTTTCCCTCCCTCTTCCGGGATTCCTGTCCTGCTATATACTACTACTGGGCCTTCACAAAAGCTGCCCTACCTCTCTCTGTTTACGCTCATTACAAAGTCCCGTCCCAACTCTTAGCCTTCTGTCATCGTTGCTTTGGCAACTCATGACTTCAGGCACACCAGCTGCACACTAATCCACTAGACTATTAACACATGGAACTGGACCACCCAATGCCTTGTTACATCATATAAAACTGAGTTTGAGTCATGAAATATGCTATGTACTGTATGCCATAAAAGAACAAGTTATAAACATGGGTTACGGAGCTAAGAACAATGAAAAATGCGGACTCGCGACTCAAAACTTACGTACAGCCTCTTTAGCGCAGTTGGTGCTACGTAACGCGCACCTAAACACAATGTTCATAAGACAGGCTGAAATTTGTAACACCACTGCAGATCACCCTCCCAAGCTAAACATAGTTTCGCCCGTATTTCCAGCATTGGCCACACAAAATGACATTCGCCCTAGCCCATTTAGGCAACTCGCAACCCAGTCTTTCGTAGACTTAGCCCGGGGAGCTGTATTCACTTGGTGAGCATTAATAGGAAATCATGCTGTAGTTAGGAAATAATGCCAAAGTCCTCCAAGAGTAGTAGATTAAGGTAGCTCTCACTCCAGACAGACAACAACTTGAAGCTAAAAATATCTTCAGAAAGCAGAGCTCTACCACTTTCCAAAGAAACGTCCCAAAACAACAACAAATGGCCTTATTGGCATACGTATTTGTCAGTCGAATGACGACTACATGTTTGATTACATGTTTGCACACAAAAAATAGCCTCAGCCAATCATCTTTAAATCTACCTCTTCACTCCTCAAACTTGCTAACGGAACAACACATGGAGATAAAACTTCGTATGCACGTGTATTACACCATTTCCATGACAACCACATATTTGTTTAAGCAACAAATAGCAGGCATTTCCATGATAACCATCTACTGTTTGAATAACAACAAATAGCTTTTTTCGCTGACAGTAGCACACATGAAGATAAAACATTGTATTGTTGAACAAAAAATATAACCTCAGGCACTTTTTACTTCTTCACTCCTATATAGCATGAAGATCAAACTTGGTACAGATGCTTATTACAACATACATGCACTTTAACCTGCTAAAAGTGGCATGTTTGTAAACACAACAAAGAGCCTCAGGCACTCTTCTTTCAATATTATTTCTTCATTTCTACGTAATGGTAGAGCTGTTCCTTAACTATCGTTCATGTATCCTACCAATGACATTTTAAGGTGCAGCTTTCCCAATCTGTTGCTCAGTTTTTGCACGTCATTGCAGAAGAAACTGTCCCATGATATCCTTTGATGTGTGAATATCTGTCAACTCAGGCACAAATAACTATGGTTTTGCTGGTGCCTTGTTGTCTGATGTTGGGCCACCCACTGGGCAACTCAATGCCAGTTCTCTCCAACCCCAACAGTTAGCACATCTCTGCTGCCAAATCCCTCGAACTATGGTGGTGCTGTTGCTGAGACGAGGATAGATGAGCTCTCAGAACAAAACAGGCTGTTAGGTCGTGTCCACATTTCCCAACTACCTGCACCGGTATGCTCAGCTGCACGCAAGGCTGCTGGGAAACGGAAAACTACCTAGAACTGCAACAAATTAGTTGTTGCTTGGGCTTTGCCCTGTGACCACATGTGATATGGTTGTAGAGCTGCAATGTGCCAACATAACCGATGTGGCACTAGAGGAAGTGACCTAACCAAATGTATCTATATGTACTTTGGTGCATTGCAACTGCAAAATCATGTGCTTCTTTATATAAGGGAGTTGCCGGTGGTTTTCGCTCCCACGGAGAATGTATGGAGAAGGAATATGAATATGGCTAAAGGAAGGTGAGAAAAACACAATACCCATAAGGCCGTGCTATTGAAAAATACATTCTGAAAACCTGGTTCAAAATTACATGCATGTGGAGAGTGTGTGTGATTTTCTGTGATTATGGGGTCACTTAGCCTACTAAGACTTTTTTGGCTTGTCATCTTATTTACCTGAGCGATTGGGAACTCAGTAACAACTTAGCAATTTTGTTCAATTTCATTACAGCATCGGACAGATCACTCTTTTCTCTTACATCGTTCAAAAACCGAACCTGCACATTGATAAAAATACTATAAATGTGCAAACCCGTATTAAATAATACAGTTTTAAGGGTAAGCCTTTGTAGAGCATGAAGAAGATGCAGTGTGCTGGAAGTTATAGACAAAAAAGGACGGTGAGGCAGATAATCTAATAAGAGTCAGAGTGACAGCAAAATTGTATTAAAAAGAGAAAGAGAGACAGAATGACTAGAAGACTACAAACTGACTAAATCCATCAGTATACATTACAAAAACGGTGAACAACTCCACTGCTCAGGACTACAATTTCACCCCCTTCCTCCATGACAAGAATTTGGCCTTGACCAGGCGTTCCAGTGTCGTGGTCACCATTCCCCTAATGCACGATAATGACAACTCCGCACACAACAGATACTTGTGTAGAGGCCTAGAGAAAGTTTTTAGTACCAACAGTTAGGCTGGCTACAAGGGTTGTTGTTGTTTACAAGGTAATGGAAAGTTGCTGGTTACAGTGGGACATGCTGCTTCACAGACACAAGAATGGACTAGCAATAACACATGATGCATGGAGAGTGACTTAGAAGAGGATGGTGCATTAGCATTAATCTGGGGGAAACTTTTGGCCCTGTACATCAGCTAATCACTTATGCTAAAAACTGTGTAGCCCATACCGTAGATGCGGTTTCGTTTACAAGAAAGCGATTTTGCAAGCGCTAACGCTTTTGCAAAAAAATTTCAGACAACAATTTTATGCACGCAGGTCTACTTATGTGCGTATACACACATAAAAGGGCACAATATCCCTTTCGGTCACAAATTACACAGTTCTAGAAACGTCAACAAAACTCGCACATTTGTGAACTTTGACCCGGTAAGCTGGTGGCCTAGTGGCGGCATTATCTCATAAAAACCACACACGCATCCTCAGAAGTGGTCAGTCGGCACTTGGATGTTCGGAGCTTTGATGTTACTTTCATCTACCCTTTCAGTATATACTCTATAAAAAGCAAAAGGGTCCGGGATTGAGTGAGACATGTCATAAATGTCTGAGCAGACAGAGGCTGTGTGTAGGTCTGTAAAACGGCAGAAAAAAGATCGCCACAGCGCGAATGTGCGGGGAGCGTCGATTTTGGGCGGAATTACGCAAGTGTGCAGGAGAGTTGCTGAAAATGCCGATCGGTCGCAGAAGCCGAATTTGTGACTGAAAGAGATATACACAGAGCGCACTCGTTTGGCTTCTGTTTACTCCACTCTATGCTGAGTAGGAAGCAACACTTGTCCCATCTGTGTGTATGTGTATGTGTATGCACTGTCAGGGGCAAAATGTACAATGCAAAATATAAAATATGTTTGTAATGGTTTGCAAAATCTGTTTCCCAAAAAATACCGCATGCCTCTCCATGGCTCCATGGTTTTCGCATTGAATTCGACTTGAGGATCACATGTTGTGTCCTAAACCCTCCAACATGAAATCAGCCGTGGATGTGATCTGGGAATACCTGTTAAAGGAGGCATATCCCCAGTTTGTGTTTGGTACCTGAATGTAACGCAGCACAAGGGCTCAACCTGGGTGCCCTCACAGCTCCGCCATTGGGCATTCAATGCGCCCTCCCCATTACACTCTGCCACAACTGTGACACCCCACTCATGGACATACCAGGATCTGACTGGCTCTTGCAGAATTCTTGCAGCCATGCCAAGAACTAGGTATACTGGTAGCTCTGCAAAGACCGAGGGTCAAAGTGCTTTCGTCATTAATTCCAAGAGACTGGTGCTCCGCCTCCCCCTGGAGAAGATTAGTCCGCTTCAGTCACAGTTGGCAGATTTGAAAGGAAGGTTGTGCTGAAAGCGTCAACTGCATTGGCCAGCTGCAGCAAGCATGTAAAGTGGTGCAGGCAGGCCGCAGTTTTCTCCTTCAAATTGTTCGACAGTGGCCAAAAAGCCAAACCACCACAACGATCCGATCTGCTGTGATGGAACACCGGTCTAGAAGACTGGAATTGGGTTTCAGTGCTGGGAAGTTTATGTCCGGGTCCTTATGTGGCAACTCTAACCTCGGACGCTTCGGGAGGCTGGGGTTTACAATAACTAAAGCCTGGTTTAAGCTGCAGTGGTTAGATTCTTGGGTCTCAGTCAACATGCCGATAGTGATGGCATATGCTGTGTGGGAACCATACTGGCATGGACGAGTGTGGAGTGTTGGTGCCACAACACAAAAGTGGTTGCGATTATTCTATCAGGGCACTCCCTAGTGATGCAGATGCCTCTTTATCTTTGTTGCCTCCGTCCACTTAGCCAATGCCGATAGTGCTGGCACATGCTGTGTGGGGACCATATTGGCGGGGACGGACTGTGAAGTGTCAGTGTGACAACGCAGCAGTGGGGCACCTGATGCTATACTACACCTTGTACCTGTGCACCTAGCTCACTGAGCATAACGAATACTGACTATATCTAGTGACAACTTTCCCCAGGTTCGGGTGTCCATCAATCAGGTCCAAAATGGACTGGCTGCTGGGCGTCTATTAAGCTTTGTGACTGATTTTCTCTCTTTGATGTAAAGGCAGTCGTGCAATGGGGGGAGGATGCGGTGGCTTTCCTTCGACAAAGAAAGAGGGGCGAACCCCCTCTTGGTGCTCCTCCCCCTCACTAGCACATCCTTGTGTACTTGGAGAGGGGGAGGGCCCTACACAACGTGCCTGCAGATAGGGGCATGTTAAACGAGGGATACCCGCCAGGGTAAGCTGTTAGGCAATGCTAAATATTTGCATACCTTTTGATACGCAGGTTACGTATTGGCTTCCTAACGTCCGCTTCCTAACGTCAAAGCAGCATCTGATAAACGCTCCAACAAACCTCTTTCAACAGTTATTGGCAATGCGCAGTAGGTTATATTCTCAATGCAAACACTTAACAGTAATTCTGATGCTTGGAGAATGAATACATATGACTTTTGAACGCTATACACTAGAAGAAACTATGTTAGAGGTACACAGTATCTGTTAAGAGTAGTACTAAAACTGCAATATCAATATTACCGAGTGTCAGCTAATAGATGATGAATTATCATGAGAAACTGCTTGTAGTGACTAGACAACACGATAATTGCTGTAGCAACCTGCTGCACCTTGCTCTGAAACTCTTGCACAATGCACCTGCACTACAGTTTTTCAAATGACAAGCGTACTGACGGTCAGTCTATTCTATTGTCGCTGTTAATCTGTTTCTTCCACTAACGTTTCCCTCTTGTGTGTCATGTAACAAGATCTCTCAGCAAGGAATAGGTATTCTCATGGGTACAGACTGTGCTAAGTTAAGTTTGAATATGCTGTTATTCAAACATCCGTGACACTTTTCTCAAATACTTTCAGGTAATGAAGTGCAACCCTCGGCGAACTGCGTATGTGCGGTACCGCTAATGGCTATTGGTGTTTACTCGCGGTTAGCTTGCGGAGAGTCTGACACTGGCTAGCTAAGTAGTAGATAGCATGCGGGAGTCGATACACACCCTTCGCTGTGGCTTCTTGTGCCTCCAAGGTACACAAAGCAAGCGGATCAGGCTGAGGTGAGCCAGCATACTGCGTCTAATACACGCATGCACACCGCTTATTGATGGGTTGGGCCACGCAACACTGTCCGCGACCGTGTCAGTTTGTCGCTCTCGAACGCAGTCGTTTCAGCAAAATCGCCATTTTATTTTTCTAGCCCATGTACCGCTGAAACTGTTGGTATCGCTCATAAGCCGCCTCGTAGCCTGTAGTGCGAGAATAGTCGTAGACAGACACACAGAACGACTACAGTAACCCTCGCTGCGCATGTGCGCCGAGGGTTAACTACTTACTCTTGATGAAATGCACTAAAGTGCAAACCCTCGGCGAACTGTGCATGCACAGTCCTACTAATTGATGCAAGGGGTCCGACACGGGTGGAAAACTCGTACACAGTGGCAGAACTAGGATTTTGAAAGGGGGGATTCCGCTGTCCAGAATGTTTTCGACTTCGCTTGTGCGCGCGCACGAGGCCTACGATGCATACGTGCAAAGCGACAAAAAGGGGTTCCGCAGAACCGCCCTGGATCCGCCGCGCGCCACTGGTACACCTATAGTCATAAATCTGTAGAAATCAGTTGAAGGGATTACAGCGAAAATGTGGAAATCAGAAATGAAGTTGCCATGCGCGTTTCTACTCCCGTTCACTATAGTAAACTACAAGGCCATCCCAGCTGCGGGACATGCGAGCCACGATATCCGGCCATGTCACACCATTACTGTGGGCGGGTAGAGCTTGATCGAGGTGTGGTGTGGCTATGCCTTGGAATGCGCACACTATAATACAACGCTCTAGGTTTTGCACAAAACAAAGGAACATGTAAGTCCACCAGGGTAGGGCCCTGGCCTTGGCATTGGCATAGGTTTGCTCAGGTGGAAATGGCATGATAGCAGCTTAAGAGGAACGAGAAATAGGAGGGCAAAAGATGTGTAGAAATTCCCTTGGGTCTCCCACCAACCGGGACTTGAACCTATATACTTGAGAAGAGTATATATCTGAGAACATGAATAACCACACCACTAACAGTTGTACGATTACAGGCATAGAAGTGAAATTGTTTCTTGCTGGCTGTTTCTGTAGCTACCTATAACCTACATTTCTCATGTGCGCTGGCGACCGTACTACCTAAAGGCACATGACTACTGTTCATGCCAGTAAAGGGACTCCTCTTGAAGTCATAGGAGAGACCCAGAAATCGATAGAAATTTGGAAATCACTAGAATCACGTGGAAATATGGAAATCTCTTGAAACCACGGATATCTGAAAATATAAGTTGAAATCACGTGGAAATCTGGAAATCAGTAAGAATCACGGGCTTTTTGAAATCGTAACGGCCCGTGTCGGACCCCTCGAATTGATGGGCTAGGCTTTTAGTATGCGTATATGCGTTCACTCGTGGTCTCCTGCTATAGCTCGCTGAGAGTCTGACACGGACTAGCTACAGTAGTAGATAGCATGCGGGAGTCAATACACGCCCTTCGTTGCGACTTCTTGTGCCTTCAAGATGCATAGAGAAAGCGTACCCGGTTGAGGTAAGCCTGTGCTAATTTGCATATTGGGTTGTTCACTTGCTTTTCACGCCATGACGTTTGAAAAAATGAAGCCAGTGTAGAGATGAACCCATTAGTATCCCTGTGTTGTTGCCTCATTGTGCATAGTTGCAGAAAACGTGGTAACAGACAGATAGGCACACTTACAAACCAAGTACCATGACCCTCGGTGTGCATGCGTGCCGAGGGTTAACAATCCCTCATGTGATAATGGCATAGATTACATTGCTCAAAAACACAAGAGAGCCCAGTTGCATACTTGGATCTTGTTGTAAATATAACACCTGTGTTGTAACAAAAGGAAAACTGTAACTTTCATCCTTTTAACTTCCTCTTTATGAGTAGCAATATACTATTAACCTTCGTTGCGCATGTGCAACGAGGGTTACGGTACTTTGTTTGCAAGTGTGGGTGTATGTATATGTGTCTGTTACGTTTTCTGCCACTACATGCCAACACCAACCACTTAAATGCTACACTGGCTTGATTTTCGTAAAAACACTGTGTTGAGAAGTTCTGGCATGAAAACCAAGTGAACAAGCCAATATGAAAATTACAAGCAGCCACTTAGCTCTACTGTACTCCACAGAAGATACAACCGAGTGTATACATCGAGTCTCGCGATACCTAAAGTTCTATACACCAGTCTAGCTAGCCCGTGTCACACTCTCAGGAAGCTAGCGACAGACAGTGTAGCCCAGCCCATCAATTAGCTGTTGTGACCTGGGCATGCGTATAGGTGCAATGATTATACGCGCACGTTTATAGGGTTTGCAATATAGTACCGTTACGAGAAGGTGTGGGTGAGTGGGGAGATGTCCCCAGTGGCAAAGACTGTTTTTACAAAACATTTCGGTTCTAAAGGCAAAGGCACCTAAAATTTAGTAGGCAAGAAATGCATGTCAGAGATTAGCCTCTTGAAGTGATGATACAGCTTTCGAGAGAGGGAGTGGCCTTTCAGCAGTTTAAAAGAGATTGGAGGAGAGTGCATTGGGTGCTAGGAATAACAAGGCTGGTGGTAGTTATAGAGTTATGGGGAAGCTTCTCAAGTATTGTGGGTAGGGATGAAAGAGCTGCTTCGGCAGTAGCTTGGAGTGAGGAGTTTGTGCCACCTCAGTGGAGAGAGGGCCTTTAAAGGAGGAGATACGGAGGATCATCTTCTAAGTGTGATTTGGGAGATGCTTTGTAACGTATTGAATGATATTGTAGTGAAGCACTAGATTAGAGTCAAGCACGGCATGATGGTCAGGTGGGTTTAAGAGGAGTTCTGTTGAAAAAATTGTTGAATTGTGTAGCCAAATGCAGGGTATGCATTCTTGTGCGAAGGGTGCATGATATTGTGTATATCCGCCCATTGCTCTGGGTGTGTGGTTAATATAGCTGGCTATGAGCAAATAGAGTAACTAAAAATCCGACATCATTTGATGAATGTACATGATTGCTCCCAGGATCCATTCAGTGTATAGTTTAGAACTATCTAGCCGTCTAGATGGTGTGGTTTGGGTTAGCTTCATTCCAGAGCTCACATAAGTTTGAAACGTTTCACAAAAACAGACATTTGTGCTGTAAAATTTGGTGCTAAGGTCTGGGCAAACAATATTTTCCAGAATTAACCCTTCGGCGCGCATGCGCAGTCAGGGTTACAGTACTTGGTTCGTAAGTATGTCTGTCTGTCCGTCCGTCCGTCTGTCTGTTACCGCGTTTCTGTCACAACACGCAACGAGACAACAAATAGCAATACCAACAAGTTCATTCTACACTGGATTCATTTAAAAAATATCCCCATAACTACTGCATTCGAAAGTTATGGCGTGAAAAACAAGTGAACAAGGCAATATTCAAATTAGCACAGGCTTACATCGACCGGGTCCGCTTGCTCTGTGTAGCAGAAGTCACAAGAAGTGGTGTGTATTGACTCCTGCATGCTATCTACCACTGCTATCCCAAGTCAGACTCTACGTGAGCTACCAGCAGCAAACAACGAGTACACGCATATATCAATTAGCGGTATCGCGCCATTCGCAGCTCACTGAGAGTTTTTAACTTTTAGTGCCCTTCATGAAACTATTAGGCGAACCCATGGCAAGCGGGAGCGAGCACACAATGGTTTTATCTGCACGAACCATCCTAGCCTATTTAAAACTTGCACCTTGGAACCACAAGAGGTACAGCATCGGTCAGGCACCGAAGAGTGCAGCGTATGCTGCCGCATTGATGAGAGTTCACTGGCTGGCTAGATCGCGCATGGAGGATCTAGGCAGGTGTAAAATCATTTGTGATAAAAAGAAGCGCGTAATTCAAACGCATTCACAGTTATGGTAACATAATATTATTTATAAATATCGCATGTGGTCTGGTGTACAATCCTCATAATTTTTTACCAAATTGCCGAGCGGAAGCGAGCTAACCACCTGAAACACTGCCTTAACAATCGCCTTTTCCATCTAACACCTACCACCAACATCTTGTTCCTTAACCACAGCCTTGTTTGCACAATGAACTTAGCAACAAATTATGCAATTAGGGTACATACCATTTCATCATTACATAAAAAGGACAATTGTGTATATGCATTAAATAATTATGCATAAAAACCATGTTACAATCTGTGACAAACCTGTGTTAACCCGAAAAACATCTCTGATAAATTTGCAGCGGGGGTCAAACCATTAGAAGCAGATCGCATGGCATACATGTGTCCAGCATCAGTCACACTCATAGTTGCTTTGTTTGCAGCCATATTAATTATTGTCCTCAACTTTTGCTCATCGATCGGTAAATATCTTAAAAAGAAAGAGTTGTGCAAATACGTCATGAGTTATGGACTGGTGTAAAGGAAGTCCCAGATAAAATTCATGGGTAGGCAGGTTTCTCACACCAGATTATTATGCACTCATTAAATATGAGTAGCTTCTAATAGGGTAAGTTGATTTAATCTGCTATAACGATTCCCTTTGCACTCATAACACCCCACAAACATTAGGTAAAATACCCACACAACTTCAAGTTGTTGGTAAAATCAGCTCTAGTGACATTTGGTGTGACTCCCTTCACAATACAGACCTGCTAGACATATAACTTGTTATAAGGTCCCTATACAAAAAGCTTGAAAATATTATGATTGCTGCTCAACTAAAAAGCACGTGCAATAATCTCGACGTTCAATGAAATTCTACCGATAACAGCTTTGTTTTAGGAGCATAGCACATCTTGTTGAGGAGTTATGAGCACAAACGTGAAGCACTTTCTGCAACATAGATTGCGACTTTTACGAAGGTCCGGCCTGTACATTGGATAATAGTATAGAGCTAGCAACCCTTGTGTTCTAAATATTAGAACTTTCGAACCAGGATTGGAAACTTCATCACGTGTGAAAATTACATTTCATACATTGCACTCAGTTTTCTGTTGGGCATCTTTGGTGGTTTAAATACCCCGGTCTGCTCCTATATACTGAGTGCGAGTATACTGTGCCATAGCACAGTGGTTTGAGGTTTGTCTTTGTGTTGTCAGCTGAATTGCCCTGGTAGCTCAGGCGCTCGCCTGGAAAGCAGAGTGTTGTGGGTTCGACCACCCAGGGCAGCTCTTCTTTCCTTTAAAGGAAATACGTAGCTATCCTGGGTGTAACTGACTTGTTTGCTTTGCCTTGCCTTCCTACCTCGATACCTCGTTGTACAAACATGCCCCTATGTGTGTCTCTCTAAGTAGCCAGGTAGGAGAACTATAGTGCAATAAAACGCCTGAAAGTGGACAAGCGGAAAAATAAGTACTAAAATAAAAAGGGCTGTTTAATCCTATTTTGTGGTACTTTTGTTGACCCCTGGCTCAGTTAGGATAGTTACGGAAGTGCTTCTGTGTACTTAGCAAGGTAGTTAACCCTCGGCGCGCATGCGCAGCGAGGGTTACAGTAGTCGTTCTGTCTGTCTGTCTGTGTCTGTCTGTGTGTGTGTCGACGCTTATTCTGGCACTACAGGCTACGAGGCGGCCCGTTAGCGATACCAGCGGATTAAGAACTATGGGAGGCTGAAAAACTATTAGGCGATTTTCCTGAAACAACTTCGTTCGAGAGATATGCTGTGAAAACAAGTGAAAAAGCCAATATGCATAATCGCACTGGGCTTACCGCGACCTGATCCGCTCGCTCGGGGCTCAGAAAGTCACAACCAATGGCATGTCATGCTATCTACTACTGTAGCTAGCCCGTGTCTGACTCTCCGCGGGCTACTAGCGGAAGACCACGAGTAAACGCAAATAGCCGGCCCAGCCCGTCAATTAGCAGTATCGCGCATGCGCAGTTCGCCGAGGGTGTGCTTTTCATTACTTGTAGGGACACAAAGCTGATAATGTGTCAAGTAATAATTACCTGCAAAACAGCTCTTCCCACAAGTTGAACATTGAGGAAACATTGTCATTTAGACAGTATGATGAAAATAGAACACCTTGTTCATATGTGAGCAAACTTTTGTAATGAGCTGAAGTAAAAGCTTCAGCAGTGATTCCACTGGTGTGTAGTTCCCACAGTTCAGAAAATTGACGGTGATCAAACATTTCCGTTCGAAACCTACATTGCAAAATCAATAGTGAATATAGATTGAAACTACCAACCCTTGATGTTGATTTAACCTTTAAGTGTATAAGCTTTAGCGGAGAGCGCTTTCTTTCAAAAGAATACCTCAAATTAATCACCCCCTGGTTACGCTACAATGAATGGGCGATGATAGTGCATAAAACAAGGAAAACAACTCCGGCTGAGGGATTATAGAAGCCCGACTGGTGTTTTATGCTGTGGAAGTGAGCTTCATCAAAATACAAAAGCACACTTAGGTGGACAAGTACACACGTTTCACCTACATGCTATGCCTACACCATGTAACTAACTGAGTTATTGCTGCCCCAAAAAGTGGAATATAAATTTTTAGCTCTTCTGGAAGATGATTGATCCCACTCAAAGCTTGAAAGTAAGTGATATTGTTTGTTGGCTGCTCTGAATACTGGACACAAACAGAACCTGCAGAAAGGCAGTAGGTGAAATATTGAAGTACGTGGAGCAGCACTATCAAACCATCAGAGTGCATGTAGAAAAAAACCATGCATGTACAGCGAGGGTTACGGTATTTGGTTTGTGCGTTTGTCTGTCCATCTGTCTGTCCATTTGTCTGTTACATGCGACCATGCGCAACGAGACAACAAAACAGCGACATCGTCACTACAGTGGCTTCATTTTCAAAAAGGCGATTTTCGTACAACTATTACAATTGTGGCGTGAAAAGCAAGTGAACAAGCCAATATGCAGATGCACTGGCTTACCTCGACCGGGTCCACTTGCTCTGTGTATCTTGAAGGAACAATAAGTCACAACGAAAGGCGTGTATCGACTCCCGCATGCTATCTACTACTGTAGCTAGCCCGTGTAAGACTCTCTGCGAGCTAGCGGGAGACCATGAACAAACACGTACTAATAGTCCAGCCCATCATTAAATTAGCGGTATCGCACATGTGCAGTTTGCCAGGATTTGCACTTTAGTGCTTTTCATTAAGGTTATCAGTGCCTAGAAAAAGGTATACAGTTCTTTGCTTCAACATTTACGTCGATAACATGACATATACTCCAAAATGATCACCAATCTACACTGGTAAATCTGATCAAACAGGGTGAATTAGAGGCTAGGACAATTTGTAAAGTCCAGGATTAAGCTGATTTTGAAGCAAAAAAGTATAAGCTTAACTGACACCACCGTATTTTAGTGAATTAAAGTAAACACACATGTTTATAGTGGAAAGATGCATGAGATACTACAGAAAACAGTACGAACATAATTTTGTACAAACCGAAGCTTATACATGCGTAATGGCGGTGCGTGGTCTATCAGTTGTACACCGGAGGAGGTATGACACAATGACAGCTACGCGTCATTTGTTACTCTAAACATAAGCTTTCAACTTTTGAGCTGTGAGGCCCCGAGAAAGCCCACTGCTGAAGTACAGAACACGAGGCTAAATGTTTCTTTTGCTCACCTTCCACTCATAGCCATGAAAGCACGGAAAATGTAGCTGAGACAAAGACGTACCTTTTCTTCAACCATTCAGGCCCTGAGATACGGAAACCTAAGTCTAACTGGTGAACAGTGCCATGTTCAAGAGCAAGCCCTACGCCAATGTTGTGTCGACTCCGCGTTTTTTGATTGCATTCCAAAGCCCACGCTGGATCGTCACATGATCATGTTGTACATGTAACACGAGTGGGCAGTTTTGATAGGATATATACGAGGGCGCAGCCCGAGTGGTCTACGAAAACTGAACCCACGAGTGTGCAACCAGTAGACCACAAGCAAAGGCCATCGTATAACATGGTATGATGACATCCGGGGATAAGGCTCTGATTCCGCAAAATCTTTCAAAATGTTTCTAACGCACACACGTCGTAATGCGGAGAGAGCTAGCAATTGGTCAGGGGAGAGAGACAGCTTGTGTTGCACATCACAATTATGTAGTGACAAACCTGCAAATTCATGATGAACACACACTGGGTGAGAACACCGGCTGACATCTATGTAAGTAATATGAAAATAAGAAACCTTATTAAGCTGTACTTTGCATTATTCAGGTCAGTAATAATAAGCACAGATTATACCTATTATAATTCCCATCCCCTTGCCCAACAGTCTAAAATAATGGTTAACAGGGAACATGCTTCCCACACCGAATAATCCACATGCCCCTGTGTTTCTTACAAGTAGTGTATTAAAAATCCTGCGAATTCAAATAAGAGGCATAGAGGGATGGCATAAAAATAAAAGGGAGACAAGATAGGGATGGATGAACAGATTAGAGCATGCTCACACCCCATATATGCTGACAAGGCATAAAGAACCTTGCACTTGGGGGTTAAACACCCAGGCCGGTCACTAGTGGCGACGAGTGCTGCCGGCCCTCTCCCAAGTCGCCTATTGTCCAGGACCGTAATTCCGGCACACAATTTTATTCGACACAGGGTCATACCAGGTCAGGGGTATGTTTTGCTCTCAACAACACACATACGTATCAGTGTTTCCCCCAGCATTATGTGTGTTGTTGACGGCGGTGAGAGCAATTGTGTCGTTGATGCGTTGTAAATCGGCGGAGGAGGGTGCAGTGCTTCCCGCATAAGCACCCTGTTTAAATTATACCCTGCGGGAAGCACTGCACATACTGACCTTTGGGAAACGATCCCTCCCTCTCAACACTGGACTTCGCCGCATATTTCAATCTGTTTTCATCATCGCAGACGTTCATGAACTTATTCTCGGAGACGACTTCTTCCTCCAGAAAGGCCTATGTCAGTGACGAACTGTCTGATTGCACTTATATCTTCATTTTATGGGACGCCGTAAGAGTCACTGAGGGGGGAGTGGTGCAGTGGATGAACACGCACACACATAGAACTTTGAACCTTTGCTTGTGGTAATACATTATCGTGGTGTTGTATAAAAGTGTTGCACCCTTAGTGTATGTGGTCAGTTTATGAGATTTCTTGTGACTACAAGTGTATACGCACATATGTCCAAATTGTCAGTTAAACATTATTCAGACTGAGCGCAAGGAGACCAACTCAAACAAGCATTTTAAAGTCTATATCACTACACAAACACACTCGGCTTATTTCCGGCAAGCAGTCGCACACTTCCCTTGTGTCTGACATAGGATCGTTCTCCCATAAAATCTTGAAGGTGTGCAGGAATTCGAAGTTGATTGGGATAACACACTACTTCCTGAAGTTGAATCTCAGAGCTAAGTGTCCTTATAAATGTAACAAGGTCACAAGGATGCCGAACTGTCTTCACTCGCAATTACCCACGATGTAAATACTTGTATGTCTTCATACAGCTCTAACATCTATCTGTACACCTTCCAGAACATTCTAGAATCTGTCACCGTCGTATATAAACTAGCTGTGTAAACTGTCCAGTGTGTGAGTATTATCTATTCAACCCCCTCGACGAGCCGCGCTACATAAATGACAAATCTCTCGGTGCTGGTGGTGTCCATCTCCACATGATAGACTCTAATGGAAGAACCCATATCTAACAGGTAACGCCAATAGAGTATATATCTGACTGTTCTTCATCTTGGGCTGTGTGACGATCATCTCCTTGCACAACTACTCCACCACGTTAAGCACACCTTCAGTCTACCCCTATGCCTAGACTGACAGTGTTATTGTCCTCAATTGCAACCTGTAGAGTTTTAACCAGTGCGAGGCGACTATGGCCAAGCAGCAAGGAAAATTAACGTCTTTCTAGCAGTGTTGATGAGTGAGAGCTCACTGCTGAAGAATGATTTACAAGGGAACAGTTTGTCACATTCTGGAGTTAACCGAACAATGTCGATGAAATCTACAACCCTGCAGACTGTGACAAGGACTTCTACCCACAGAGTTGTTGGAACATGAGCAGCAGTGTAATAGCCGGAGTGGTTACCCCTATCCGAATGGGCGAAGCAGTTATCACTCCTAGATATAGACCCGAGACTAGAAAGGCCTCCATGCTACCATTCAACATTTAGTGCTCTTTAATCAATACTGAGGTTTCACTAAGTTGGGTAGGTCTTACAGTAACTGTCAAGTCCATAAACATCGTAGATGCTCAAGGGCATAGATATTCATAGATATTCAACCTGGGAATGAAAGATTGTTTGTTGTCACAACTGACACCAGCAACGGTGTTTACAAGAGAATTTGTCGCACAGCTCTCTTCAGTCGTGCATTACCACCAGGATTGAGAAATGCCAGCTCTTCCTTATTTACAAGGCCACTATGCAGTACAAATGCATATCTCTTCACATCGTTTCCACACACAATATCGCTCTTACTGAGAGGTGTGCCTGGAAGATAAAGTTCCCATTAATAACTTGGTAGAGAGTTTAGGTAGGCTTGTTTCTAGTGTGGTTAGATTACATTGGTCGAGAAGAGAGAATTACTCACTCTGGGTCCAATTCTTTGTGCAAAGTCGTAGTGCAAATTTCTTCTCGAGAGCTGCTATTGCAATTGCATAGTGAGGATCCAACACTGGGCAGGCGTACTCAAGAAGGGAGCGAACATATGATACATATAGTCTTCAGAATGGCTGTGGAGGAGTGTTTGTAGAACATTCTGCATATGAAGCCTAATTTATTTCTGGCATTGTTTTCAATATGTTTGCTCCATGACAGATTTCGACTTATCCAGACTCCTAAACATTTTACATTTAGCAAAAGGCAACACGCAGACAGACACAACGTAGGCTTTGAACAATAACCCATGCTGTGCATGTAACAACAATGAGGTCAAAAGGCTCATGCATGAATGTGTGGGATAATTGTATAAGCAGTCTATCCACTTGAATTCTTATGAGTCTACAACTGCATTGTTGGCGAGCAGGAGCAATCCAACTAGTTACGGAAAACATTAGAATATTGATGGTGAGTGAAGTCGTTTGTTTAGTGAGAAATGCAAGTGACAATGTTTTTAAACGAAAAGCATGGTTCACACTTAAATGAATCTGCTTTAGTGACAACACTGCTTTCATTTCCTTCAGAATAATTATGTGAGAAAACCACAACCCACTTGATGGTGAAGATTTGTGAGCTCTGTCCCTCACTAGTGACTGTTCCCTGGTTTAGATGTGCGCTCCCTTGAAGACTGCATGCCAAGAAAGGGGAGTTTGCTGTCTCCTCAGGTGTCTCTGAAGCAACTCCTGCGACATCTGTCTGTGGCACCACACTACTTCGGAGCGTCTTGGGTATCCCTGTCTCTTAGGGTGTTTCTTCGGTAATAGCCATTTCTGGGGTTCGCCTTCTCTTGCAAGGTTCTAAAGCTGATTCCAGGGTTAGTGAAGAGCAACGGATCGTCAACAGTGTTTTGGTAGGGCATTCTTCCATGTAATGAGGGAGTACTGGCATCGATAAGTACTGCTTTGTTGCTGAACAACAATGTGTATACAGAACGCGCTCAAAAGTGACGACTACTGTATTAACAGTCATTGGTGGGGTGTTGCAGGGTGGGTCACAACATAAAATGTATATATAGAATAGGTCGAACGGAGAACTAGGTTGGCTCGCCCCCACTCGCCAATTAATGCGTACTACACATTACGTTCTTCTAAGTGTTAGAAAATTGCACTACGTACCTGGCTTCCAGTAAAAAGGTCTACGTATAAGCGTTAAACTTTAGGTGAATGCACATAAGATTTTACAGCACAATTATAATACCTGATACTTGCAATGAGGGTAAACAGTGAACATTTCTGTGAGACTGATCTTGATCTTGATTGAGCTTAATACCATTTCTATAAAGCTGTTCACAATCAAGGACAGATGAAAGGGCTTCCTTATTCTTAGCTTTCTCTTTTATCATCATATTTTCCCGGTATAGCTCCTGCTGGAAAGACAAAAACAGCATAATGGCCCCATACCACAATTACATACTTAAACACAAACAAATGCGACACAAAAGTACCTAGACATAGGGGTGCGGGAGACAATCGTGTTTTGATAGAGGGACTAATTAACCATCGGCGCGCATGCGCAGCGAGGGTTACGGTACTTGGTCCGTAAGTTTTTTTGTCTGTCTGTTATCACGTTTTCTGCAATGACGCACGACGAGACAACGAAAGAGTGATACCAAAAGGTTCAGCGCTATACCGGCTTCATTGTGATTTTCGTAAAAGCAATGTGTTCGACAGTTATGGTGTGAAAACCAAGTTACCAAGCCAATGTGCTAATCAGTATTCGTTTACCTCTAGCAAGTGAGAAATAAATGCATGCGTGTGTTACACTGGCGGGTTGCGCACAATGATCGCGTTTTTTTAGCACTGTTCAGCAGCCAGGGTTTCATTTTTGTGAGGGCAGCGCTCGAGCAAATTTCTGGTCTTTTCTGGTACAAATAAATTTTTTTAGCTGCCAATCAACACCTTTACATTCCCCGCGTTGTATGTAGAGGGGGCTGACCGATGGAGAGCGATACACACCTGAAGAAGGTATGTCCGCACCAGATCACTGAGGCTTGCTACAATAATGACCTCGGTACCTACTGCGGAAGAGACCACTACCAGGGGACCATTAACGGACACAGTGTCATAAGCCCTTATAACATCACCGTGGGGAAGAGATTTGCACAGAGATTTCCACTGGCATTACAAGTCTCCTCCCCTAACATCCCAATGACATCATCAACATCAGTAGATCTACTCTGTCGACCACAGTACTTCTCCAAAATGGAACCAGTGTGCTTTAGAACCTGTTGGTACTGCTCCTTAGCCACCTTGTTGCACATGGTGGCAAAAATGGACAGATGGACAGACAGACACACAAACAATAGTAATCTTCACTGTGCATGCATGTCAAGGGCTAAAAATCTTGCCGTTCAGCTACTACATGAGGTCCCTCGAACTTTCCAATTGCCACAATGAGAGGTTTCCCTATAATACAACTGTGAGTAATTGACTAAGTGTACATGGTTGGGGTATACATTACCAGGACGAATGCCAAACATTTTTGGTGAGCGAGCGCGAGCATTTCGTGCATAATCACGTAGAACACCATGGCAGCGACAGTGCCCGACGACTGATAGGCATAAACAGAAAATCCTCAGAATAGAAATGACTTTGTAGGCTCGCGTCGTTCGCCAATAGCCTTTCCAAAGTTGTAACTATAGACTTTCCAAGCCAATGTATTCAAATGCCCGGTTTTAGTGTACACAGTCAAATATGGGACTGAACTTACGTACATTCATTTGCATTACAAGGGTGAGATGGTGGCTGTTGTTCATTAAATGATTTTTGACACATTCTGCCCAGAAACCTTTGCATTCTCCCTGAAAAAGCAAAATAAAACATACATTTCACCTAATGTAAGGAGATTGCCATCATAGGATTATATAAGGGCACATCTGAGTAATCAAGCCCCAGGCAATAAAAAATTGTAAATAAACTTGTAAAATGGTGTTTGTCCCTATAACTTGCTTATATCGGCTAACAATGAAAAACTTAGTACACTGATTTACCATGGTAAGAGTTCATCGAAACAGAAATTACAACAAACAGCCTCAGACAATTAGGCTGTTTGACCTTAAATTTCTGTTTTCTTATGTGCAGATAAGAGTTCATCATTACAAGGTTGTAAACAACAAAAAACAGCCCCAGGCAATAAAAACTTGTAAAACATGTTTGTGCCTATAACCTTTCCCGAGTAATCATAGAATGACCGCATAAATGAAAAGCACTAAAGTGCAAACCCTCGGTGAACTGCGCATGCGCGGTATCGCTAATTGATGAGCTGAGCTATTAGTATACGTTTACCCGTGGTCTCCCACTAGTAGCTCGCAGAGAGTCTGACACGGGCTAGCTACAGTAGTAGACAGCACATGAGAGTCGATACACGCCCTCCGTTGTGACTTCTTGTACCTTCAAGATACACAGAGCAAGCGGACACGGTCGAGGTTAATAAGCGCATGCGCATTTTCCGCAGAGATAAAATGGCCGACTACGCATTAGCCGTACAATGGTGGAAGCGCTCTAGCTTTGTGATGGAGCGTTTTCAGAGAAAACCGTTCGAAATTTCTGACCTTCATTGCCCGTTGAGTAGGTGGAATCTTTTGTGAGACAAACGAACACTCGACAAGTGAGATGGAGAGTAACACACAACACACACACAGACCCAACTACTGTAACCCTCGCTGCGCATGCGTACCGAGGGTTAACTAAGGGTAGAGCACTTTTATACAAACTACGAGAATGTTCAAGAAGAATTAAAATGTGCAAAGGTTCAAAATTCGATGTGTATGTGTGTGCGAGTTCTATCTGCTACAACACTCCCAATCAGTGACTCACGGCATGTTAAGTGAAAAGGCAGTCTGACACTGCACACAACAAACACAGCGGGTTCTGTGTCAAGCTGGTAAGGCGGCAGGTGGCAGTGGTGGTGCTGAGGGTGAGTTTGGTGACAGTGGGTGAGCTGATCCAGGTACGTGGGCTTGAGACGATTGAGGAATACAATATCCCTACGGCCATTGATGTCTATGATGAAATATAGTACTTGCCCTTCCACTCCAAAACAGGGTAGGGACCATCGTAAGGCTTGTCTAGTTCTTTCTTTATGGCATCTCATCGAAATCAGAGATGAAGCAAAGGTAGAAATTGTCTGAATGATGAGGGGAAATTGATGGGCTGCATTAACGGTCAGGAGCATAAAGTCCTTGGTCATGCAACTGAGTAGTCATATCTACCAGCTGGCTTCGTTTCATATCGACAAGTAGCGTGAAGTGGCAGAGGAAGTCGGCTCTCAGAATAGGTTTACGAGCGTCTGTGATGCTGAAAACCCATGCGGCGAAGTCCAAGGTTGAGAGTGAGGGATCGTTTCCCGAAGGTCGGTATATGTGTGTTATTGATGGCGGTGAGAGCGACTGCGTCATTGATGCATTGTAAATCGGCGGGAGAGGGGGGTATAAAACAGACCTTTCACCCTGTGTCGAATAAGAATTGCGTACCAGAATGGCATTCCTGGATAGGCGACTTGGGAGAGAGCCGGAGGCACTTGTTGCCTCTTGTGACCAGCCTGGGTGTTAAACCCCTATATTTATACTTCTGGGTGGCGTCTCCGAAGGTACGGTGATGCCAACAGAGGGAATCTAGACAGTAGGTGCCGGGCTCCCGGGGCGTCGCTGTCGTGGTTGTGAAGGGCTGCAGTGGCCGGGTCGCGTAGTCAGGGACTCTACAAAGTGTGTGAGGCGGGTGACCTCCTCACTAAGCTGTGCAACCTCAGTGGTTGCAAGAGACACAGAGAGAGTTGTGACGGTATGCGTGACCACTTTCAACACCTTGTCCGCCAACTCGGCGAGTTTGCTCAAGTTTGTGCAGCGTCGGTGGAGGCTAGCACCATCCGGACGTTAGCAGAGAGTCGCTGAAGGAACAACTCACAGAGTAAAAATGGTTGCTGTCTGTGGAACCCAGTTTGGTTGCCGAGAAGCTGTTGGATACGCCAGAATAAATGTGTAGGTTTACAGTTGACAAGCTTCTCGCCACTGATCAACTGCTTTAGCTTGTGCTGTTCGGACGCGGCCGTAGGCTTGACTAGCTGCTCCTTTAGGATGTCATACGGACGGTCGGCTGGAGGTCATAGGAGAAGGGTCGCACCTCTGTCAAAACTCGGAGCTGAGGGTGCTGACAACGTAATCGAACTATGTATTCTGGGCTGTTACTCCTCGGCAAGCGAACTGCGCTTTGACTTGCGCAAACTAGACTTCTGGGTCAACGGGCAAGAAAGGTGGCAGCTTGACGCTGATGGCTGCGAGGCTCGCGGCGGTTCCCGCGAGTATATCGGCCTCGGCCATGTTGGTGTTCGGTGTTTGTTGATAGTCGCGGTAACCGATGTAGTCCCAGGAAAAGTGATACACTGACCACCTACACTAAGGTACAGCAATTTTTACAACACCACGAGAATGATCTAAAACATTCAACAATGACCACATGCAAAGGTTGAAAGTTCGATGTTTGTGCGTTTGCGAGTTCAATCCGCTACACTTGTTTATGGTTGGTCAGCCATAATGAAACTCAATACACTGAGGTACCATGATCATAGTTCATCTGAACAAAAATCACAAGTGTGTAAACAGCCTCGGGCAAAATCTTGTAAATGGTGTTTGTGCCTTTAACATCCTTATGGTGGATCCTCTAACAATGAAACTTGGTACACTGATTTATCATGGTAAGAGATCATTGAAACAGAAAATACAAGCTTGTAAAAAAACAACAAGTGCTCTCAGGCGAAAAAGAATTGTAAATAATGTTTGTGCCTACAACTTGCTTATGGTAAGTCCTCGTACCATGATAACATTTTAGCGAAACAAGTTTGTGTAAACAACAAAAAACACCCTCAGGCAATACTTGTAAATAGCGTTTGTGCCTATAACTTTCTTATGGTGGGTCCTCAAACGTGGTACACTGATGTAGAAAAATAAATTATAAGTTTGTAAACAACATAAAAACTTGTCAATCGTGTTTGTGCCTATAACTTACTTGTGGTTGGTCCTCCAACAATGAAACTCAATACACTGATTTACCACAATAAACGTTCATCAAAAATTACAATGTTGTAAACAACAACAAACAGCCTCAGGCAAAAAACACTATTAAATGGTGTTAGTGCCAATAACTTGCATATGGTGGGTCCTCTCACAATGAAACTTGGTGCACTGATGTACAAGAAAGATGTGAATGACGAAGTCTGAGGCGATAGCTTTAAGGCCACTAATGTTACTTTTTAATGCTCCAAAAGATTCCCTTTTTATTGCACACCATGGGTGTGAATGCAGTAAAAAACGAAAGGAGACAAGTAAATAAAAATTCTTAAAATGGTGAATATAAGGATGGTATAAAAAGGAAAGAGACAAGACAGGGATGCCCTAGTGTGTGTGATGCAGTAGTAAAATGGGTGGTGGCTACATAGTTCGAACAGACATCATTTGCTCGTGTAAAATTTCGGTTGCTTCTTCATATAATCGGTATTGGGATTATGTCGTAGATAACTGAGTAGTACAGTAAATTGGTATAGTAGTATACATAATAATTTCCCCGCCAGGCAGCTAACTCAAAATGGCCGAGTGATTAAGGAATAGGGTAGGGAGGGATAGGGCTAGGGTTAGGGAGGGATAGGGCCAGGGTTAGGGTTTTATTCTCCTCATTTGATATTTTTTCTTTTTTGTAAGTGAAAACTCTGAAAATTTGTGTCAATACTGTGACAGCATAGTGAGGTAATATACGTAATTGCACGTTATATAAAGAAAGAACAAAAATTCCCTCCACACAAGCCCTATATTGTCGCCACATTCACTCACTGACATGAATTAGTTCTTGCTGTGAGTATCCCACTCGTCTCTCCGTGGCTGGGATATGGCTGTTGGAGATGTAAGAGGTGTTGTCTCTCTGAAATCCTTCATTAGCTGGTGTTGGTTCTGCCGAGGGTGCCCACGATAGGGTGTCGGCTACAGCGAGGCTTTTCCCTGGAACGTGGGAGATCAAGAGAGAGTATCGCAGCATGCGGAGACGGAAATGTTGGATAGTGGAACCAGCGGCTTCTGATCAGTTTTAATGTGAAAACCGAGGCCAAGCAGGTAATCGGAGAGGCTCTCACATGCCCAGGTGAAGCCCAAGGCCTCCTTTTCAATCTGGGCTTATCTCTGCTCAGTTTGGGACAGGGCCCTTGACTTTTAGGCAACCGGTTTCCTCTCGAGCTTCGTAAGGTATACGCATTTGCATACTTTTCCGTTTGGTTTTGGTATGACTACGATACCCGCGCACCAGTCAGTTGGTTGTTCCACCCTTGCGATGACTCCTAGCCATTCCATCCATTCTAGTTCCTCCTTAACGGGTTGCATACTCTCCTCACGATGAATGGGACGGCATCTCGGCGAAGTTTGATTGAGTAGGGTTGGTTGAACTTCCCCAAGCCTTTGAACAATTGGGGACACTCTGACTCTTGGCCTTGAAAGTGGATATGGCCCCAGCTCGTACTACCACCCCCAGTACTTTGATGGCTGGTCGGCCTAGGAGCTGTTGGTGTAGTCTCTTCACGACATACACATCCTGGTGTGCTTCCTGGGCCCCTAGTTTTATTGTGCCACTGAAGTGCCCTGTCACAGGGAGAGCGTGGTTACTTGGGCCTTTCAGGCTCCAAGGAGGTGGTGAGAGAGGAGGTTTACTGATAGCATCGTGTGTGTGTTCGGAGATGACGGTAACCTCCGCCCCTGTATCGATCAGAACTTGGTCCTTTGTCCATTGAGCTGTGGTGTAACTGTCCAAGTAGTTTGACTGTCCCTGC